CAGTGGATCATCAACAACTAACAGACTCAGACACACCCTATATATAAGGGAAAAGACTTGGCCGTAAACAGGTTTACGGCCGTAAACAAACTCTGGCCGTAAACTCACCAACACACTTCAACTACAAGACTCCAAACACAATAAGACCTATACATCAATTAGCCTAGCCCAAACCATAACTTAGACCCTTCAGGAGTTAGCCTAAAATGTGTGAGGAGGAGGTAAAAGCCCAACAACATTGTTGTTGGGTCGCTAATTGGAAGACGCTCCACCTGGCCAAGGGTTCCAAATCCCCTAGCCGCTATTACCAGCAAGAGTATAAGACGATCCAAAGTTCCCGCCGACACCACCAGTTCGACCTCTGCCGGAACGACCGCTCCTGCCGCCTCCTCTGGAGTTCCGACAACCACCCCTACCATTAAAGGAAGTGCCTCGGTGATTATTTGGAGGCCGATTTTTTTGATGGCGGTTTTCATGCGTGGTATTTAGGATAGTAGGGGCTGAAGCATGATCTTGATGAATGGAAGGTACAACACGATTTTGTTCCTTTAGCATGGAACGTTCTTCAAGTGTTAGCATCGACCGCATTTCAAGAAAGGTCGGGAATGGTTTCTGATGTAGAATGGTGGTAACCACATGAACAAACTTTGGAGAGAGGCCAATAATGGCATAGATTAAAAGATTACGTTCGGGAACTGGGGTTCCGATGTTAGCAAGAATATCAGCAATTGACTTTATACGAGTGCAATATTGAGCGATCGTTGAGTCATCAATAGTAATGGAACGAAGTTCATCATAAAGTTCCATGGCTTTGGATTCTTTGTTTTCAAGGAAAAGAGCTTCAATAGACTTCCAGACTTCGACTGCTGTAGCATCAGGTTTGAGAATGGTTTGAAGGAGAGGCTGAGTGAGAGTGCTATACATCCATTGTTTGACAATATTATCGACTTCTTCCCACCGAGGTTCATTGACTTTGAAAGACGAACCATCAAGATGACCACAGACAGAATACCCAATGCAATGTGTCTTGAATAATTCTTTCCATGAATCATAATTCATGCGATGAAGATAAAGTAGAAAAGGGACATATGACTTTATGTTTGTGATGCCAAAGATTTTATCAGTAGGTTTGGTTTTGGAAGAGGCTTCTGAGCCAGTCATGATGGAGAAGAGATACAAGTCGAGATGAGAAGAAAAGAAAGACCGCTGCCCTGAGGATCGACTAGGGTTTAAAGAGATTAGTCCGATACCATGTTAGGCACCATATTTTCCCATGAACGATCATTGTATTCCATCACCAAATATATACATGATATAAAAATTAGGCTATGCTAAAACATTGTGGGCTAAATACAATGGGCCACACAAAAAATAAAACAAATACAATAAGTAGAAGATTATATGTCTAACAATAATAACACTTTTGTCATGTTTTTCTTAAACCATTGTGACGAAAAAACCACTAAACACTTTTTCCAAAAGGGGTTGTGACCTCCACTGGTTTTTTGGTTAGAAGTATAAATACCTATTAAAATTAATGTATAATACGCCTAAATATATATAATTTAGGCTCTCGCCCGCCCTTGTTGTCCAAATTTTATACATATTATACTTTTGGTCAACCCAAATTAAAAGTTTATGCTCCGCAACTGAAGTTGCTAACTAATAGCTACGGTCTCACTAACAAGAAGCTCATGTGTTCGTTGGATGAGCAATGGTCACAATCAAAAAAACGTTTGTGTGTCTGCAAATTGTTTATGACCACACTTAAATAACATAATGCTTGATTACAATACTTTTTCCCGTTTTTTTTAAATCGATGTGACAAAACACTCACTAAACAATCTGTTTTTGTGATTAAATAATAGAAGTCATTCTCAAAAGACACGTCTAAAAAGAGTTTATAGCCATACTTAATGGACGAAATGCTTGATTACAACAAGAATTGTTGGTACCTTTCAACCATATTTTTATGATATGGCCACACTTTTACAATTTCTATGGCCACTAAATGTGAATGTGGTCATATGATACCTAAAATAACAGGACATTTGGTCTTTTTTCTAAATGGGAGCTGATTTGTACACAACGATTTTTGGCCATCCACAACAATCTTATATAAATTGACAAATTTACCCTTTTTTATATTTTACACTTTACCCCCTTCCCCTCAAATCGTCTAAAAAAACCCCTACCTAAGTATTAGACAAACGACTCCACACACGACAATTCAATCCCACAATTGATTCTGCCATCTCTAGCCTCCACGACCGCCAATCGTCGCCGGATTGTTCCACCGCCGTCTTATTCGTCGCCATTGACGGCTTGCTCCACCGGTGTCCCACTGTTCTGTAATCACTTCCGGCAAAGGTACAAACAAAACTCCAAAAAAAATAGTCTACGGTTGTTTTCTAAATTTTATGGAATTATCATCGATCAGTGGGTTCGTCTCTTGTGGTGCTCTATGCAATTATCATCAATATTATACATCTTTTTTTAATAGACGAAGCTTTATGATATTCAATTTGAGTGGATTTACACTGTTTTGCATATTGTATTTCTTATATGAATATCACGTGCTCAACAATAAGATATATATGTGTATTGAATTGTTATATTACACCGTTCCATATTATTGTTTTGACACTTTGTTTTTGTTGATTAGCTAATGTAGAATATTGATTTCAACTTCCAGATTTGTTGAATAAATGAAATTGAATGAAAAAGACTATTTAACTACTTCAAAATTTGACTCGTGTGAAGATTTATTAAAAAGTGTTCGAGAATTTTATTATTCTAAAGGATATGGGATATCTATTCGTGGTTCAAGAAAAGACAAGCACGTGATTTTGCAATGTGACAGGAGCGGTTCATATCGAGATATACGAGGTATTGCAAATAAAAGAAAAAAAAACTACCGCATCTCGTTTGATGGATTTAATCCACCCTCATTGGAGGATTGATACGTTATCGTTAAATGTACAAAATGATTTGCATGGTGAAGGCATCGATCGATTCGATGAGTTGCTTAATGAGTTGCGCTCAACGTATCAAAGGTGGCCCTTAAATAAGAAAGAACATGCTCTTTCAGTGATTACAAAACTTGTGAACCAATTTGTCACCGTTTTTGAGTCCGTGATTCAATGACCAAAAGGAAGACCTCCAAAATCAAAAAAGAAAAGATGAATAACTTCCACAACACGAGATCCTTCAAGATTTGAGTTGGTAGAGCCATCACAAAGCCGCAATAAAGTGGATGATGAAAATAGCTTAATTGATTTAAATGTATATCCATTAGATACCTTTGATTTAGACGGTTCTTTTTTAATTCGTCATAGTTTTTTTTTTATTTGGATAGTTATTTGGTTTTTTATTTTGGATGGTTGTTTGATAATTTGTTTGGTAAAAAGTTTGCTGATATAAATAATCTCTTTATTTTAGAAGTTATTATTAAAGATTGTTTTAGATATTATATAATACACTTTTTTATTTGAAAAAAAAAATGAGGGTTTCTAGCATAATTTTAAGTTAAACATATATTACGTCCAATAAGTATACTAATGTAGTAAAATAAATGAAACAGTGAAACGAAATTTTGGAAAGAAGTTATATACATGGTAGAAGAAATATACTCCTTCCGTCCCAAAATTATAGTCCATCTTTCCTTTTTGGTTTGTCCCAAATTAATAGTCTACTTCTAAAAATAAATAACATTTTTACCAAAATACCCCTCATTATTACTTAACCAACTAAGCATTTAATGCAACATTAAATGCAAAGTAATGGCAAAACTGTCATTTTATTATATAAAGTTAGTGGTAATTAATGTTTTTCTTAATCTGTGTGTTTTTTGTCTGTGGACAATAATATTGGGACGGAGGGAGTATTAATTTAGTTGGAGGGGGTAAAATATAAAGTTTGATAAAATAAAGAAAAGGGTAAATTTGTCAATTTATAAAAATTTGTTGTGGATGGCCAAAAAAAAGTTGTGCACGGATCAGCTCCCTTTCCAAATGCATGTTTTTTTGATATAGCTGTAATAGTGGAAACGATTCTTGTT